CGAGTCTCCATTTTACTCAAACTTTCAACGGGACCTGACTGCATCACTGTCATTATCTAAAAACATTCAGTTGTGCTTTGTTACCTGACACTTGAGACTGTTTAAAAAAAAATAAAAAATAGCAACAGAATCCACAACACTATACATTTCTAAGGATCATTCACACAGTTACGTTACTGTCATGTGTTTAACACTAAAGCCTCCTGTGTCATATTTGATACATGAATTACTAAAGGCATCTTATTTAATTATCAAAATGATCAAAACTTGAAAAACCTATTGTAACTTTCCACATGCCTTCTGTCATCTGATTGATAGTTTATACTTTTTTTTTTTTAAAGCAAGTAAAATGCCTTTTAGTGTAATTCTAAAAGCATTCACCCTTCAGGTTGTGGTTCACGTGTCTTTTTGCCGTCAAATCTTCATCCAACTTTTTTTGCCATAATAATAAATACCTAAATTGCACATTGTTGCTCAGTTTGGGCCTCTGAATAAAAGTTTGCTATTTTTCGTCTTGAGCTCAATATTATCGTATAGATATTTCGTATCTATAGTAAAATATATTGTCTAAATGTTCAATGAAATGTCCCATTTAAAAAAAAAAAAAAAAACATTCTACTGTTTCACATGTCAGTTCTGAACAACAACATTTATACAATAAACGTGAATGTAATATAGACACAATACTGGAAGTTACTTTGTCTATTCCACCCACCAGCGAAAAGTTTTAAACCACATTGGTCTTCCAGCAATGTGTTTAGTGTTTTGTTCCTGAATGAATCAATTGAACGAGTCGGATAGGAGTGAATGATTCAATGAATCATTTACAGCTACTTGTCACCAACTACTGGCGCAATGATGTAACTTGCAGAAAATTTTTACCACTAATGCCGACTGACGGGCTGTTTCCGAAATCACATACTGGGTAGGTACTTATTTTGAATAAGTACTTACTTCATGATCGTTAAAGTATGTTCTATATAGTATGAATCAGCAGCTCTGCTATGAATGTGTGTAGCATGAATATAATCTATACTACATTTGTCATGTGACCTACCTGCATCAGTTGCGTCGCTTCACTGGCATTCACAAATCCTTTCCGGTGGCCATATGGATTAAAGTATGGAAGCTCACTTCCACCGCTGAATAAAAAGGGTAATTGCGACTTTTTCTCGCAAATGCGAGTTTACATATTGCGGTTCTGTTTTTTTTTTTTTTTTACTCAAAATTGCTTTTTGAGGAAATGCTGAATTGTTTTTTATTTTATCACTCAGAATTGTGTGATATAAACTCATAAAACTGCGTGTTATGAAGTCAAAATCGCAAGATATAAACTCGCATTTGTAAGAAAATGGTCTTCTTTCCCCTCAGAATCAGACTTTATAACTCGCAATAACGATATATAAACACACGATTATGAGGAAAAAAAGTCAGAATTGCGAGTTTACTTTATTTCTCACAATTGTGAGTTTTATATCTTGCAATTCTAAGAAAAAAGTCAGCAGTTACGGAAAAAAGTCAGAATTGTAAGTTTACTGCATTTCTCGCAATTGTGAGTTTTATATCTTGCAATTCTAAGAAAAAAGTCCGCAGTTACGAGAAAGTAAGTTTACTGTATTTCTCGCAATTTTGAGTTTACATCAGCAATTCTAAGAAAAAAGTCAGAATTGTAAGTTTCCTATATTTCTTGCAATTTTGAGTTTTATGTCTTGCAATTCTAAGAAAAAAGTCAGCAGTTACGAGAAAGTCAGAATTGTAAGTTTACTGTATTTCTCGCAATTTTGAGTTTACATCAGCAATTCCAAGAAAAAAGTCAGAATTGTAAGTTTACTGTATTTCTCGTAATTGAGTTTACATCAGCAATTCCAAGAAAAAAGTCAGAATTGTAAGTTTACTGTATTTTTCGCAATTGAGTTTACATCAGCAATTCCAAGAAAAAAGTCAGAATTGTAAGTTTACTGTATTTTTCGCAATTGAGTTTACATCAGCAATTCCAAGAAAAAAGTCAGAATTGTAAGTTTACTGTATTTTTCGCAATTGAGTTTACATCAGCAATTCCAAGAAAAAAGTCAGAATTGTAAGTTTACTGTATTTTTCGCAATTGAGTTTACATCAGCAATTCCAAGAAAAAAGTCAGAATTGTAAGTTTACTGTATTTTTCGCAATTGAGTTTACATCAGCAATTCCAAGAAAAAAGTCAGAATTGTAAGTTTACTGTATTTCTCGCAATTGAGTTTACATCAGCAATTCTAAGAAAAAAAGTCAGAATTGTAAGTTTACTGTATTTCTTGCAATTTTGAGTTTACATCAGACATTCTAAGAAAAAAGTCAGAATTGTGAGATGTAAACTCACTATTGAGAGAAAACGCCGCAATTACCTTTTTTTAATTTTTAATTTTATTCAGTGGCGGAAACCAGCTTCCATAGTAAAGTGTCCATGGGATGCATACTTCAGTATCTCAGCAGAAGTAGTAGATCATGCTACTTTTCACCAACTGCTTTATAAATACATTTGGACATACTACACCTTTCATTTAATAAAATAGGGAAGTATACAGATTTGGATGCTTCCATAATCTGTCTGAATAGACACACTGGGGGAAAAAAAATGGTGTAGGATTTACATTGAAACAATTTTCACTCAGAAAGTAAACTTGTTAGTTAATTTCACAAATTAATGACAAGCAACACATTGAATTAAAGTGAACGTAGAAAGACTGAGTTTTTTGTGTACACCAATAATCTGTTTTATTTACAACTTTGAAAAATATATATCTTTTTTTTTTTACAGTGTACATACAAGTGGCGTGATACAAACATCTCAGTGCTGTTGGTAAATCAAATCTGATTTATATAGACAGATGACTTGTCTATAATGCTGCATGAATAAAGTTGCTTTATTGCCTTTCTTTGAACACAACCCACTCATAGATGAGCTTGAAAATGAGATGTGCGAAGATCAACAGCACTACACAAATGCATATGACCCACTTATTATTGAAGCTACTGTTCATTGCTGTTCACAGCCCTTCCTCATTATTTGCGACATAATCACAACCTTGTTTTGAATGTGATTATGGTTGCGTAGCTTCAGGACACCATTGTGTTTGAGAAGTCTGTTTCACTAGAATTGGCCTTAAACAGTGCTCTGGGAAAATCGGAGTATTAATAACAATTATTGGCGTTCTTTAGTTTCTACAGGCACCTTAAGTGTTGGGTATTGACTGTTGTCTATTGATTTCACAGCTTGTCACTTGGGGTTCAACTCCCATTGACTCAGAACACTTCAAACAAGCCCTCATTCACCAACACTCTCTCCACATGCACATGTGCAGGAAGATATTATTCTAAATAGCATCGTGATCTGAAATAGAAAAATTAAAGCATGCACTTGACATGTAAGGACAATTGATAGTTTGCTGCTGTTTTCTAGTCATCTACTGAAATGGTTTCATTTATTCCTTACTAGTTAAAAAAAGCTGCCAAATACAAACATGTATCAGTTTTATTGACTGATTTGTGTTTATAGGAAATGCATGACGACAGTGAATAATATTTTAAAAGTGCTATTAATGTTGCTGGCTGACTGATATGACACGTCACTTTTCATTGCCTTCAACGGAAAATCCATTAAAATGTTATATATTAGGCTATGAGGCATTATTATATGATTGATTCATGTACAAATACAAGCATTACGTTTAACTTTTCCAAACCACAAACTATGACAGAAGCAGCATTGAAACTTTACCTGCCATTAGAATTCACACTCTCATTCATCTCTGTAAACTAGAATTGTAACAAGGAGGAAAATTCACAGTAGAATGTTCATTAAATATGAAGTATTGCATGTCAGCAAATTTAATTTGAAAGACAAAAATAAATCAGCAGCTGATGTCAGTATATACATGAACATGACGGGTATCAGATACTTAGTGCAGAGCTATTCGGAAATGAATCGGGTTTCATCAACAGATGAGATCTCATAATTTCTAAGGCGAGTATCCAGATAAACAGTCCAGTTTAGACATGAATTCTCATGCTGGTCCAGGTTTGTTTATGCTCTTTGTTGCTCAAGTGCCGGTGAAGCTGGTTGAAAGTCTTGATGGCTGAGGCAGGAAAAACAGCTTAACGCAGTATTAAGACAGTCTTAACTGGTCTCCTAGTTTGGTTTTAGGTATTTTTTGGCTGGTCAGGCTGGAAGAGACCAGTTGAAGCTTAGACCAGCAAACCATCTTAGACTGGTTTAAGCTGTATCAGCAAGTGACCCAACTGACCTTACGACAGCAATTACTTAACCGCTGCTGCTTTTCAAGGGTGGGTGTACTTTATATCCGTCAAACAAAATGACATTGTGAGTCGGTGATGTACATGAAAATGATGTACTTGATGACTTTGGAATAAATTGCCTCAAATCATTGTGCAGAAAAACAGAAAGCACAGGCTTTTGTATCAGGTTATTATGCTGAAATACTAAATATAATGGTAGAAGATGAGAAAATAGTGAAATTACCAGGGAAAATCTAGCCAGGTGTGAAGAAGTCAGACAGTTGATGTCATAAATATTGACATTAAAGCAGGAAAGTTATGTAATGGACGCTTTCTGCAGATGCAAACAGGACAAATGCATTTTTTGTGTGTTTTTCTATGAATGTCAATGTCCTAAAGAACGACAAGTGCTATTTATCACTTGTATTATGTTAAAATTCTGGATATAATTATGTCAACTGATCCTAAATGAATTCAATACAATTAACCCAAAATCACACTCTGAGGAAAAAAATCAGGTAAAAACAGTAAACCTTTAACATTAATACTTTTCACACATTACAAAAAAGTAAACATGAGAACATGATTTTTAAAACTAAATTTAAACATGATGTTTAAAACTAACTTTTTAATGAACTCAAAACGTATTTTTAAAACATCTGTTTTTCACAAAATGTGAATATTATAAACAGTGTTTTAAATATTTTTACAACATTTTTGTGTGTGCTTTTCTGAAGCTCAGACAGTAGAGCATGGCAATAACAACAGAAAGATCAAAATTCACATGCTTGAACTACTTGGGGTCTGTGCACCTGCCTTTAACCTTGAAAAATCTGTATTCTACTATTCCTTTCCTTTGAGCAAACATAGAGATGTTTTGCTTTTGGACGATCATTCAGAAGCTTATTTGTTCATGCAGTCTACAATTCAGTCAGTTTGACAGACAAAAGTCAGAGAATTGATTTGATTGGCTATTTGGGCCGTCAGTCATTTATCTGTCGTAAGGTCAATTATCAGCCATCATTTGATAATCATGTTTTTCTAGAACTCATTGTGTCAGTGATTAAGAAGGGATCCAACAGACAGTTGGTTTGCTGAAAACCGTTCTGTAGCCATTGACGTCGATCCAGACACAGGCACTGACTGGCACAGACTTGCGCTGCAGGTGGTCAGGAAGTGCTTTCTTCTTCCTCTTTCTTCACTGTAAGAACAAACATGCAATTTTATTTACAGCCACCTCATAAACGAGCTTCAATGGGCTCCTCCAATTAACTAAACAACTGTTATTTCCAGACATATCCATCATAATTACACTCTCGCACATGACATTGGCAGATAAATATTCTATTCTAGCTGCATCTCTCTCTCTTTCTTGGCTGCCTTTGGCTTCTTCCTACCTCTGCTTTTGATTTCTGAGAGCACTGAAGGTCTGAACACTGTTGCGTGGAAGATGAAAGGTCAAAGGCTACCGATGAATTCTATGGCACGTTCCCCAGATATAATGAGCACTCTCATTCTTGAACAGTTCATCAAGGTTTTTAGTCGAGCCTTATGCTCTCTGTGCAAAACAAATCCGGCTTATTAGCCAAATATGTATCTCTTTTTTTGCACCGTCTCTGTGGCTGCATGCATATTTCACCCTTTATTTAAGGAGAAAATCACTGTTCCTCGCATTCCCCGAACTCTTCACTGTCTGCGTCAGACAGCTTAGCATATACAATGGGCTCATTGGCGACTTCAGCGGCATGGCTAATGCGAGACCTTTTGCGCTGCTTAATTCCGGAAGGATAAACAGGCTCGCGCATGCAAAATTATTCAAACACAGATAATTAACCGAGGAAACAATCAGCTGTATGAATAATAATCCACAGTGGTAGATATTATAACTTTAGAGCATGAGAATAAGATGGATGTGGGTACCTTGGGCATGAGCTTATCAAATAAGGCTCGGTAAATGTACCCTGAATGAAATGAGTCAATCATTTTAATGTGCAAGAGAAGCCCTGAGGAGAACAAATAAGCAATCACTACATCACGCAGGGCGAGCAAATGAACCTGCTGCACAATTAGGCAGGGTCACATTCGGCGAGGGCTGCGAGCACTCCATGTGCTAATGAGCTCTGTGCGTGTCAGGGAAA